GCTTTAATCCCAACTCTGCTTTCCATTCCAGCTTCCTGATCATGCACACAGGAGGCAACACATAAAGATTTAGGTGGTTGGATCCTTGCCATCCATTCAGGAGACCTGGGTTGAGTTCCTGTTCTTGGCTTTGGCCTGATCTGTCTTTCATTGCTGAGGGCATTGGGAGAGTGAACCAGTTGATGGGAGATATCTCTCTCTGTCGCTCTGTCTCTCTCTTTCCAATTCTTTGCCTTTCAAATAAAATAAAATAAATAAATATTTTAAAAAGAGATAACATCAAAGAGACACAGGATTTCTTTTTACCTTCATTCTCTCACCTCACCTTTTTTTTTTAATTTACTTTATTTATTTGAAAGTCAGAATTAGAGAGAAACAGAGAGATCTTCCATCTGCTGGTTCCCTCCCCAGATGGCCATGGCTGGGCCAGACTGAAGCTAGGAGCTTCTTCTGGGTCTTTCATGTGGGTGCAGGTACAGGGAGCTGGATTGGAAGTGAGGCACTCAGGACTTGAACTGACACCATTATGGGTTGCTGGCGTCACAGGTGGTAGTTTTATCTGTGACACCACAACTCCAGCTCCTCTCACTGCATCTTAATCTACTCTGCATTAGGAAATCCTATTCCTGAGCAAAGCCAACGCATGACATTCTTTCCCACCCCAAGTATTCCTCTCTTACCCCTTGCCTGGTGTCCAGCATCCAACTTGCAGCTTCGCAGTCGTCCTGATGAGGGCGACAGAGATGCTTGACAGTTGGTTAAACACTCAATAACAAAACTAACTCTTGGAATCGCATCCTTCACAATTAAGTGTATTTTTGTACTCTTCTTGGAGCAGACAAAGGCAGATGACAGGAAAAGAAGCCTATGTGAGAGACTTGGGAAAAAACCTTTAGAAGAGGAGAGCAGCAGGAAGAAGTATTGACAGCCCCAGACCAGCATAATGACCAGGAGGAGGATTAGGCCCTGAAGCTGCAAATAGATCTTGAACACAGAGGAGTGTTGGGGTTGTGCTCATTATGTCCTATTCATGAAGGAAGAGAAGAGGGTTCAGCTATTTGAGACAGAAAGAATTTTCCACCTTGCTTTCTTAGTTACCCAGAATCTTTCCTAAAATTTCTGCTCCTTTAATTCTTTTCCCTTATTTTGCAGAATGCAAACAAAACTCTAAGAATCGCATTGGTGGTGTGTGACAGAGGATTCATCATTGAATACTGCCCTCCGTAATCTAGTGCAAACACGCTTTCTTCCTCTCCCTCATCTTTCTCTCTCGGTTCGGCAGGGCTAGAGAGAGGCTGTTGCTTTCTCAGATGTGACAGATAGTAATGATAGTTCTTGGTCTGTGTTCTGACGGTCAGAAGAAACCTTGGAGCTGGAGACAGGCAGGGAGGGAAATAAATCTTATGTAGGTGCTGCCAACACTATGAAATTTATTAAAGGACATTGACTCATTGTACACAAAAAGCTGAGATGGAGTCAGTGGGTAAACTGCTTTGATACCATTCCCAACTTTGCTGTCAGGGTCTGTAGGTTTAATTAACACGTTAACTGGAACAGCTCTGAGTTGTTTTCTTCTTTTTTTGGTGTAACACAAGGCTGGACAATTAAATTCTTGCAGGAGAATGTGTTTGAAGTAGTAGGTGGCATATGTAGAGACGTTTTGTCTAGGGGTGAATATGTAGGGCCCTGCTGGCAAATCCTTGGAAATTTCAAATGTAATGACATTTGTGAAGTTTGTTGTTGTTTGTTTGTTTGTTTGTTTTTTAGATTTATTTGAAGAGCAGAGTTATGGGGGGAGGGTCAGAGAGATCTTCCATCCTCTGGTTTATTCCCCAAATGTCTACAATTGCAGGAGCTGAGCCGATCCGAAGCCAGGAACCAGGAGCTTCTTCTCCCATATGGGTGTAGGAGCCCAAAGGACTTGGACCATCTTAAAATGCTTTCCCAGGCACATTAGAAGGTAGCTGGATCCGAAGTGGAGCAGCCAGGACTTGAACCGGTACCCGTATGGGATGCTGGCACTGCAGGCAGCTTAACCTACTATGCCACAGTGCCGGCCCCGTGAAGTTGTTTGTTAAGGTACAGGCCTCTAGCTATAGATCAAGAAAAGCAAAAAGTGCTTCTCTGATAAACTGTCTTCATCCTATCATTGGAGACTCTGAGTTCCTTACTATGTGAATTCATGACGAGGGGATTTGTGTGGTATAAAATTAGTACTTGTTTCTTTGGTTACGTACTATGTTCTAGGAACCAATAGATGTAGAAGTATAGAATTCCTAACATCTGAAAACTTTGCACTTTCATAAAACAGGCAGAGAGTATTAGGTATTCCAGCATGATATATTTATAAAGGAGTTCCTGCCTTGCGTTATTAGAGGACTCTCTCGAAACATTACCAAGAAAATTAAATATAAGTATGTAGCCTGTGATTTGACAACATCTGTTACTGTCCTGTGGTTCTCTGGAGATGAGTCTAGTGGGAATTGTAGGAGTAAGGGAAGGTTCATAGAGGAAGTAACCTTTGATCTTTGTCTCAAAAGTAGGTTGGCACTGAAGTAGGCACGTCTTGAAGCAACCTCCGCCAGAGTAGGTACGTCAGTGAAGGCATACCCAAGATAATGCCCCTGACCGTGAGTGGAAGAGCAAGAAGGCCAGCCCACCAAGACCAAAGGGAACGTTTCCAGAGGTGGAATGGAGCTGAGGAAGACAGGCTGGATTTAGTTTGTGTACCCACTGCTCCAGAGGCCTCTAGGTGCTCACAGATAACACAGCAGCCCTTTGAAGAAATAAACAAATGGCAAGGGACACACCTGACTGGGCTGCAGATTCTGAATGCCAGCCTAAGGGATAAATTTACAAAGACAGAGAGAAACAAGAAAACAGAACACAGATACTAGCACCGAAGGATTCCTCACAGAGATGAATTCTCTATAGGAGCAGCAATGGCAATCCCTTGGTCTTAGAATTTGTGTATGATTAATGCAGGGTATATGTGAGTCCAGCCTTCATACACAGAATTATCATTATGGTTTCATACTGCCTTCATTCTGTTACATGTGCACTGATCTTTCTATATGAATATAGAGATTTTCATGCATTCATGGATATATGTGCAAAAGCACATGACAGTGGACTGAACTCTGTTCCCTTTAAGCTGATACAAAAAGTGTAGTTCTGGGTCTAAAAGGAGATAAGACTGGGAGAAATAGAATCCAATCCCAGATTGGGGGCTTGCTGTTATACAAGACTGTGTGTTAAAATGCAAGGCGTTCAGGAAGTGTTAGGGAACAGCAGCCCGGCATACACATGAGTTAAGGAGTGGATTGTGCTATCCCCTGCTGCCTCCCCTTCTTTCCTTGGCACTCTTAAAATATACCCAACATGAAATGTACCCGGGAAATCTTTCTCCCTCAGGCATGTTGGGCAAAGAAAAAATAATTTAAAAAATTTTAGAAAGAAAAAGCAATTGTTTCTCCTTGGCTGGATGCTCAAATGCTGTGTAGTTGCAGCCAATTGAGCTGTATACTTTGGTTGCTAGATATTTTAGGTTTTTTTTTCTTTTTTTTTTGGTTTCAGTACATGTTTTAGTAAAATGGACACAATGTCATAGCAAGTTCTCTCAAGCGTCAGTAAACACTCACTTGAGTTGAATTCTTCTCTGGTCATGCCTGGTGCTTCTGCAGCTTTGGTGAGTTATTTGACGCCTCACTGAATGTTGTGGCTGAATATAAAGAGAAAAAGAGTGGTACTCGATGTGACGTGACTCGCCGTCCATTCACTGTGGGAGTTGGCAATTGTGATGGTAGACTATTGAGGGACAAGTGAATGAATTATTGACCAAGCATATAAAATGAAAAGAAATGACTTGATGTTTTTCAAATCAGTAACCTAATGCCTTTTGGTTATCACAGTGCCTAGCTTCATATTCTGGATGTCCTCAAAGGACACTCTTGGAGGCAGAAGATGTCATTTAGCAGAGACCTCTAGGGTTGACAAGGAGCAATGAAGAACAGGACAGAAGAGCAAGAAGGCATTTAGGGGATGTAGGGGAAGTGGAGGGCAAATTCCTATCTCATCAACAGTGAGTCTGTGCATTTGATCTTGGAGAGAAGTAAAACTGTGTAACTAATGGGTTTGAAATCTTACGAGCTGTGTAGACATTTGATAAATAACCACAATCACTTCCTATATCTCAGCAATGGTGTATAGATTCAGATCATGCATGCAAAACACTTGGTTTATACTAAGAGCTTAGTTGGTGTAGACGGCTGTTTCATAATCTGAAGTTCCTTGGGTTCCTGTTATAAAGAGCAGCGCTGGCTCCTTCTTGCCTGCGGCATCACTTCCCATCCCCTTTCCTCTCTATTCAAAGCCCTTTCCAAGTTGCCTTCATCATGTGCATCCGAACTTACTTAGCTGAGGCAGGCTTGTTCATTTCCTGGCCCTGCCTGTCTCGCCACTTGGAACTGTGCTCTTGTGTTTCTGAAGTGTGCTACTTTTGTCAATCTGAACGCTGTCGTCTGTCCAGGTCCCCGCTGATCCTCCACATCTGTGAAGCTTCCCTGCTTGCCTCCTGAGCCCTGAGCATTCCTGTGCTGCTAGCTGCCCTGTGCTTTCACCATTTGTTTTTCATTGTGCAGGTTATATCCTCTACTTCTTGTAGATGCAGATTATACACCTTACATTTCCCACAGTTCTCTGCAAGTGCTAGGTCAAGTCAGACGGCTGACTTTTATCACCAGGTGGCACAGAGTATGAATTCCAGTTCATTCTGTTGCTGACATGACGTGATTTTCAACAAGTCCTCAACGGTACAATGGGAATATTAGCATCCACCTTGCAGTATTTATGTGAGGAATTGAGACAGTGTATATGTGGTTTATTTCTGAGAAATGACAGGCGTTCAATAAGTGGTACTACTGTTACTGATTTAGAGAAGTGATTCTGTGCATTCAGTGTACCATAGAGCCTGGATGATGAGAACTTTCTCTTCTTTTCAGTTATACAGCTCTGCTGAATTTGGGAGAAGATGGCAGCTTATCCAGGAAGGGGTTGTACCCAACAGGTTTTACTGGTAAGTCTCACCTTATCTTATAGCACAGAAGACACCACCTAGGAATGAGCACTGGCGTCTCTTTATCCCAGGCTCTCACATCAGGTCTGTTCTTATTGGCACGTGTACACCTCCCCACAAGTCAGGATGTGACACTGGAGTAGTAATCATTTTAACGGGATGTTAAATGTTGCCCCACAAGTTCCTTAACAAATCTAAAGTGGATTATTGAGGTTAGTAAACAGTAGAAGTTTTTTAAGTGGTGACTTGTATATTTTGATGGAACTTTAAAATGGTCATTTTTTAAAAAAAATTGTGTTTTTTATTACTGAAGGCATCTGATACACATATATTAATTATATATCCAAATGAAGGTTTTCAGTACAGATATGTCAGCCTTGTTTAGTGTAAAAGTAGTTTTTTCCCATCCCCCAATCCTGATTTCAGTTCTAGATATTTCCCGTGCCATATGGAACACAACCAGTATTCCTAATGTTTTACTTATCATACCAGAAATCTGTGTGTGTGTGTGGGGGGGGGGGGTCTCACTTTGTTCAGACTGCTTTTAACACTGAGTTGCATGAACAGTGGACATCTTGGCAATTCTGGAGACTGGGAAGTTCAAGGTGCTAGAAGATTTGGTAATGGTGAGGACCCTTGTCCTGACTTGCAGATGGCTGCTTCTGTCTGTGTCCTCACGTGGTAGGAAAGGAGAGGGCACTTAGTTTTCTTTTCCTATTATACGGATACCAGTACCGTATACCAGTCATGGCAGCATTTAACCCTAAGTACACCTGAAAGGCCTCACGTACACATAGCTTCACAACCCTGGGAGTTAAGGCTTTAACATACGAATTTGGGAGAACACAAGCTTTCAATATATAACATACATAGATACAGATATTTTCATTTGCATAAATATTAGTTATACACACTGAAGGCAACTCAGTTAACTATGCATATATTGGAGTCTTCTAAATGTTCCTGGAAAATAAATATTATGAAAAAACTGCAAATGTCAAAAAACTTTGTACCAAAAACCTGGAGCTGCTGTTTGACCTAGTAGTTACTATGCCCATTAAGACAGGACATCCAGTATGAGAGTGCCTGGATCCAAGTCCAAGTGCCAACTTGTGTCTGGATTCCTGGTAAGGCAAGTCTAAGGAGGCAGCAGGCAATGGTGCAGGTGTTTGTGTGCCTACCACCCATATGGGAGACCTGGATTGAGTTCCCAGCTTCTGGCTTCAGCTTGGCCCAGACTTGACCCAACCCTGACCATTGCAGGCATCTGGGGAATGAGCCAGCAGATGACAGATCTCTCTATCTCTGCCGGTCTGTCTTCTCTGCCTCTGTCTTTTTCTGTCTCCAAGCTAATTAAAATATTTAAAAATTTTTCTAAACCAAGATAAATGTCTTTCAATTATATTTGCCATAGAATTTTAGAAATACTCATCTCATTTTAAGATAACTACATATCATCTTACTCTAAGAACACAGAATGGAGATAAATATTACACTTAAAAACTATCAAAGAAAGATGTACTATTCTCTGAAGGGAGGAGAGAACTTCCACTTTGCTTATGGACTTGTCTAAATACTGAAAGAGTTTGTGGATTCAAAAGGCTTCCGTGGCCTAGGCAGCTCATGTCAAGAGCCTCTGGTGGTCACTGATGTTATACATAAGAGTATTAATTGCTAAATTAACAATAGGAGTCACTGTGTACTAACTTCCCATGCAGGACTTCTCTCCTCAGTGAGCTGTGTTATGAGAGTTAACTGTAAAACTTGTTTTCAAACAGTTTCTTTGTGTGTGTGTGTGTGTGTGTGCAAATTGTTGAAATCTTTACTTAGTATAGAGTTGATCTTCTGTGTATAAAGTTAATTGAAAATGAATCTTAATGGAGAATGGGACTTGGAAGGAGAGGGAGGAGGAGAAAGAGTAGGAGTATGGGTGGAAGATTCCTAAAGTTGTACTTATGAAATTTGTATTCATTAAATAAAAGGTTTCTTTGAGAAATATAAAAAGAACTGTTTATGAAGGTACTTTAAACAGTTCGTGAAAAATGGAATTAGAAGATAAATTTATTTTACTGTAAAATTTTTTGAAATCCTTGTATAGTTTTTTGATTATATGTATTTCCATGAATTTTTTGAGGACTCCTCATTTGCTGGGATGTGTCTAAGAGAAATATAGGGGAGAGAGAGAAAGAGGGAGGAGTAGGAGAGAAGAAAGGATAGAGAAAAAAATAGGCAAAGAAAATAATATCCTTTTTTTTAAGCATCTCAGCCCACACTGCTAATTAAGCACGAGATGACCTCTGTCCATGGAATGGGTGGCTAAAATTGAAAAGAAGGGAGTTTCAAAAGCCTTACATTCTAGCTTTAAATAAGAACAAAGCATGGGGTCAGCATTATGGCGCAGCAGGTTCAGCTACCGCTTGGGATGCCAGCATCCCGTATGTGAGTGCCGATTTGAGCCCAGCTGCTCCGCATCTGATCCAGCCTTCTGCTAATGCACCTGGGAAGCAACAGAGGCTGGCAAAACTGTTGGAGACTTTCCCATCCGTGAGGGAGACCTGGATGGAATTCTGAGCTCCTGGCTGTGGGCTGGCCACTGCTGCTATCATCTGGGGAGTAGACCAGCAGATGGAAGCTAGCTTTCTTCTCTCTCTCTCTGTAGCTCTGCCTTTCATGTTGCTGAAAATATGTGAACATTAAAGAAAAGAACAAAGTAGGGAACATTCTCATGTGATTTTGGTGTTACTTCTCAATACCTTTTGAATTTACTTCATAATCTCTAGCAAGACATTGTATTTTACCTTGCTCTAATTTATCTAAACTGCCTAAGGAAAAGGTATTTAGACCATTTCCAGATTTTTGCTACAAGGAAGTAGCTGAGACAATGGCTTAAATTACCCTTATTCAAGTCATTCAGAATGATCAGGACAGTGAGCCTCTGGCAGCCAATTAACATCTTGCAACTGGGGTAGTGAACATTCTTCCCCTTTGGCTGCTGTTATGGTGCAGTGGGTTAAGCCACTGCTTGTGATGCCAGCGTCCCATATCAGAGCGCTGGTGCAAGTCTCCACTACTCTGCCTCTGATCCAGCTTCCTTTGAATGTACCTGGGAAGGCAATGGAAGATGACCCAGTTATTTGGGACCCTGCCACCCACATGGGAGATCAGAATGAAGTTCTTGGCTCCTGGCTTCAGTCTGGACCAGGTCTTGCTCTTGTGTATGTTTGAGGAGTGAACCAGTGGATGGAAGTTCTGTCTTTCTCTCTGTCTCTCCCACTCTCTCTCTGCTACTCTGCTTTTCAATAAATAAATCTCTCTTTTTTCCAAAGTGTGTTGCCTTTACCCCTCTTCATATCACATTGCCTCTTACCAGCCTTTGGACTTAGATGCAGAACAGATCTCCAAGGCACATAATAGCTCCCCACCTCTTACTTTCATATGAACTTCTAAGAGGAATGCATTTTATCTTTCTCATTTTCAAACACTGCCCTAAAACCCCTGCGGGAGTTGAAAGCTAGAGAAGTATGTTAGAGAAATCTCTGGAAAAGCTGGTGAAAGTGCCTGAAAAAGTTAAAGACAAGCCATTTGCAAACAAACTGGCTCCAAGATAATATATAAAGACTTCAATATGGAATGATACCAATTTCCCCTATCATAATGAGACTTTTATAATTAAGAACCTTGCATAGATGCTTATTTACCTCCTTTCTCTTTCTGCTCCTGCTCAGGGAAAGACTTCAGCGTTGCTTTCAGAATCCAAATTAATGTCTCTTATCTCCAGGAATTCACCTGTGGCTTTCCTTTGCCTTCGCTTCTGTGGTCAGCACTCTTTCCCCTTACTCATTTCGTCTTTTACTTATGAGACCTCTTTGTCTCTGCATGTTTTCTCTACAAATTATCAAGCTAGTTTTGGGAAGAAGATGAGCCACTTATTTTTTTCCAGTTCTTTTCTTCATGCTGTAAGTGCATAGAAAGGCTTTGGAATCTCAACAAGTGAAGTCCTCCCATATAGACCTCTTACTTTATCATGGAAACAGACCTTGTGTTTTGCCAATGAGAAAGTTATGGGAGGCAAATCATTCCTTGCATTCTGTTTCCGAATGACTACAATTATCTGCCCATGGTACCTAGAACTAGATAGACAGTAGAAGATTGCAATTCAGAGACTGCAGAAGCTTGTTCCTATATCAATAGATACAAAGAAAGGCATTGGCTAAAAGGAGGGACAAGGAAAAAAGGTTGAGATGAGAATATTTCCCTTGAAGAGGAACATGATTCCCACTATTTTCCAGGTCACTGGACCTCTTGTTTACACGTGACACTTTTACAAGGTGAATTGACCTCAGCCCTCCTTCAGCCATTGATAATTGCCATCCTTTCTTATCTACTCCTTGAAGAGTGGTGCAAACTTGATTAGCAAAGCCCTTGCTACCCAGTGTCATGAAATTATTATCTTTATAAGCCTGACACATTGCTATGTGTGTGAGTTCTAATTAATCTCTCTGTTAAGTAAAATAAATAAAACTTCCTCTGTTTGTCTTTGGAAACAGGAAAACACATCTTCCCAATTCAATCCCTAACAGCATAAAAAGGACTATTCAAATTTAAGGCATTTATTCCTTATGGATTCCTTCCAAAGTAAGTTTTTTGCAGTTATCACTAATAGCTGGGGGATCTATGGGACAGGGAGGTTAAATAATTTTGCCAAGGTCACACAGCTGGAATGTGCCAGAGCCAGGATTCAAATGAGGACTATCTTCAAAGTCCAAGCTTTACTAAATCAATGGAGGCTGTTGCTTCCCTGTATGTTGGCCTTGTTTTCTGGGTTGTGTTGTGAGCCCTAGAAATCCAGCCTGCAAGGCAGATGAAAGGCGAAATTCCAAGGCTCTGTGGCCACTGTGCCTGCCTGACTGTCTTTATACCTGGGCTTTGCAAAAGGACCCCCCGGGTGCTTCAAGCTTGGTTGTTTTGTACTACTGAAGGGACAAAACTTTGTAGATTAC